GCCTCGGCCTCCCAAAGTGCTGGGATTACAGGCTTGAGCCACTGCGCCCGGCCAGAACAGTGTTTTTATATTTAAATGTAAAGACAAAAAAAATTATATGTATGGTTTTGTGGATAATGTGTGTTTTGCTAAAGGAGAAAAAACAACATCCAGATCAGACGCACCAAAATTGAGACAAATAGTCTGAATTAGAAATCAAGTAATGCAGTGGCCAGGCGCGGTGGCTCAAGCCTGTAATCCCAGCACTTTGGGAGGCCGAGGCGGGTGGATCACGAGGTCAAGAGATCGAGACCATCCTGGTCAACATGGTGAAACCCCGTCTCTACTAAAAAAAATACAAAAAATTAGCTGGGCATGGTGGCACATGCCTGTAATCCCAGCTACTCAGGAGGCTGAGGCAGGAGAATTGCCTGAACCCAGGAGGCGGAGGTTGCGGTGAGCCGAGATTGCGCCATTGCACTCCAGCCTGGGTAAGGTGAATGAGAGTCTAACTCTTTTTAAAAAAAAAAAAAAAAAAAAGAGAAATCAAGTATCTCCTTTTGAGTAGGGAGTGAGAGAAGTGGTTCTTAGAAAGATGGTAATTTGGGTTTAAGACCTCATAACCAGTTTAGGGTTTGCCCTGCCCACCCTCTGGAGAAGGTGGATGTTGGTTAGTTAACAGATGACACATGTTACTAGCAGTCACTTGATCTCTGTGGCTTTGGTTTGTGGACAATCACTTGTCCACATGGGTTTAGAGATAGGAGCTGTCTGGTCAACTTGAGCATGGTACTGACAGAGGGGGTATTGGGGTTATTTTCTGGTAGGAATAGCATGTCACTAAAGCAGGCCTTTTGGTGTTAAATTTCTTAAAAAAGCAAAATTATAAAAGTTTAGATTTTAATCAAATTTGTAGGGTTTCAAGGTAATTTTTACAGAATTATTTGTTTGCTTCAACTGTCTCTGCTTGTGGAGAAGATGGGGACAGGGCTGGAGTCAAAACTCTTTTAATTTTGTATCCTGATGTCTTTTCTCTAAGTATGAAATATTCAATTTCTTTAAGATTGCTGAAGAAATTTTTTGTTATTTTATAAGAAACAAACCCCACCTTTATCCCTTGCTTCACTTCCCCTACCGTTTTCTGGTTCTTATGTTGGCTGTGGCAGGCCAGCTATGGTTTTCTCTTGCCATGATGACTTCTAATTGCCACATATAGTATGTTCAAAGTCAAATAACTCCTCATTGTAAACAAACTCTGTAACTACCCAGAGCAGCACTTATAAATCAGCCTAAACTAAAAAAAAAAAAAAAAAAAAAAAAAAAAAAAAAAAAAAAGAAAGAAATCAGCCTATGGTTTAAGCCTGGTTGACTACAAGTCTTTTTTCTCTCTCTCTCTCTCTTTTTTTTTAGACAGGGTTTCACCATGTTGGTCAGGCTGGTCTTGAACTCTGACCTCAGGTGATCCGCCTGTCTTGGTCTCCAAAGTGCTTGGATTACAGGTGTGAGCCACTATGCCCGGCCGACTACAAGTCTTGTGCTCATGACTGGGTCTATGACTAAAAGGTGGACACAGCAGCAGTCTCCTTCAGCATGGCGTGGTGTGTCCCTGGACACAGCTCTTGATTCCACTGACTTAGAAGCAACAGAATTGATCATTCTTTGGTAGAGCATATTTGCCAGTAAAGCCTTTGGAAACTGGAAAAAAAAAAAGAAACCTAATCCACAAATGCAATGGTATTAAGAGGTGGGGACTTTGAAAGACAATTAGGTCAGGAAGGCTCCATGCTCATGAATAGGATTATAATCCTTCTAAAAGAGGCTTGAGGGAGCCGTTCACCACTTCCATCTGTCCCATGAGGATATATAGAAGGAAACATCTTTGAAGCATAGAGCAAGCCCTCATGAGACACTGAATCTACTGGCACTTTGACCTTAAACTTCCCACCCTCCAGAACGATGAGCAATAAATTTACACTGTTTTAAAATTACCCAGTCTCGGCTGGGGACAGTGGTTTGTGCCTGTAATCCCAGCACTCTGAGAGGCCAAGGTGGGCAGATCACTTGAAGCCAGGAGTTCGAGACCAGCCTGGTCAACAAGTTGAAACATCTCTACTAAAAATACAAAAATTAGCCAGGCATGATGGCAGCTGCCTGTAATCCTAGCTACTTGGGAGGCTGAGGCACAAGAATCGCTTGGATCCTGGAGGCAGAGGTTGCAGCGAGCCGAGGTAGCGCCACTGCACTCCAGCCTGGGTGACAAAGTGAGACGCTGTCATGCTACTTGTGAAGTGCTGGGATATAAGTCACCAATATCTAGATGTGGTTATCATGACTTATTAAGCTGGTCTGGATGGACTTGAACTGCTGACCTCAGGCAATCCGCCCACCTTGGCCTCCAAAGTGCTTGTATTACAGGCGTGAGCTACCGCGCCCAGCCTGAAGACTAGTGTTTTATGAAACACAGTTTAAGAAATGTTGGTTTAGATTTTAATCTTCTGGGTAAAACAAATCTATTTATATTTTAAGAATGAGAATGACAGTCTCATTGGCAGTAAGGGGAATGTGAAGGCTAGCATAGAAGTACAGAAATAATAGATATGGGATTATTTCAGTAGTTAATGCAAGAAATGAGAAGAACCTTTTTTTTTTTTGAAATGGAGTCTAACTCTGTCGCCCAGGCTAGAGTGCAGTGGTGCGATCTCAGCTCACTGTAACCTCTCTGCCTGGGTTCAAGCGAGCGATTCTCCTGCCTCAGCCTCCTGGGTAGCTGGGATTACAGGTGCCTGCCACCTTGCCCAGCTAATTTTTGTATTTTTAGTAGACATGGGGTTTCACAATCTTGGTCAGGCTGGTCTTGAACTTCTGACCTCGTGATCCTTGGCCTTCCAAAGTGCTGGATTACAGGTGTGAGCCACTGCACCCGGCTGAAATGAGAATCTTAACCAAGACTGGTAGGGTCAATTGAGAGGAGAGAATTGATCCAAGAAATTTCAAGGTGGTGAAATTGACAGGCTTAGCGACTGTGGTGGATACCTGAAAGGAAGATCCATGCCCAGATCTCTCTTCAAGGATGTTCAGTTATTCCAGTTTCTGGGAGTGCCAGTTTCTGAAAATGATTTTTAATATATCCCTGTAATAAAAGTATTAAACCGTTTATGCAGTTTTTTTTTTTCAAGGCAACATCTCTCTCTGTTGTCCAGGCTGGAGTGCAGTGGGTCTCCGCTCACCACAACCTATGCCTCCCAGGTTCAAGGGATTCCTCTGCCACAGCCTGTCGAGTAGCTGGGACTACAGGCATGTGTTACCATGCCTGGCTAATTTTTTTTGTATTTTTTTTATTTTATTTTATTTTATTTTATTTTTTTTTTTGAGATGGAGTTTCGCTCCTGTTACCCAGACTGGAGTGCAATGGCGCGATCTCGGCTCACTGCAACTTCCGCCTCCTGGGTTCAGGCAATTCTCCTGCCTCAGCCTCCTGAGTAGCTGGGATTACAGGCATGCGCCACCATGCCCAGCTAATTTTTTGTATTTTTAGTAGAGACAGGGTTTCACCATGTTGACCAGGATAGTCTCGATCTCTTGACCTCGTGATCCACCCGCCTCGGCCTCCCAAAGTGCTGGGATTACAGGCGTGAGCCACCGCGCCCGGCCTTTTTGTATTTTTTTAGTAGAGACAGGGTTTCACCATGTTGGCCAGGCTGGTCTTGAACTCCTGATCTCAAGTGATCTGCCAACGTTGGCCTCCCAAAGTACTGGGATTACAGGTGTGAGCCTGGCCTATGAAATTCTTTTTATTATTTCATGATAACCACTGGTGACATATACCTCAGGACTCCAGAAGTAGCATCAGAGACCTCCTAATCAAAAAGCATCTTCTTCATTTTGCATACTGACTCCTGCTACTCCTAGTTTGTGTGGGAGTGCCACTGGCAAATAGTCTTTATCTGCCAGCCTTTTCAGGGATTGCCTCAACCGCAGAGAGACCTTGCCCATATCTAATGAGTGGTCAGGAGGGCTTCATGGCTCCACGGTTCCAGAGCGAGCTCCACAGGCTTAGCTTTATGTATGTGCAACCTGGGTAGTCACACAGAAGGGGGCTGGGGAGTGGTTTAGTGTTCTCCTGTCACCTTTTTACAATTTTTAATTTAAATTTAATTTTTATTTATTTATTTATTTTCGAGATGGAGTTTCGCTCTTGTTGCCTAGGCTGAAGTGCGATGGTGT